AAACTTGAAGTGTAGCCTGAACTCCTTCATTTTATAGAATACCTTAAGACCACATAGTTTATTGGATATCTACCTTCAAAATTCTTCGTCCCTTAGTCTGATTTGATACCGGAAAGTGCGCAACCAGTTTGGCAGGAATCATTAAATCTATAAAAGTTCAGTAGCAGTGCTTGCATATTCATTTGAAGGCAGAAACATACTGGAGGGATCGACAGCGAGCACGAATACTCTCTCTGCATTACCTTTCAGCTCGTCTTGACGTTCTTTTCTCTCCAACTTCCGCATTATCACGTCAAATTCAGCATTTACAACGCCAGGCGCCCGAACGGTGTCATTATAATTCTGCATATGTAACGCTTCCAGAATGTGAGCCTCAAAATCGCTGAATTCCTACATGAGGAAGAAGTACGAAGAGCAGAAAAAAGTGGCAAAGGTTATTCGCTCATTTGATTTTGTTTCTGCTCAAGTAATCAGTTAACCAACCTTTATCGCCGTTATTCTAGCTGTTTCTCTGATTTGAAGGCATCCTTCAGGATGTTCTGTACAAACGATACAATTTGCCGTGTGTATTGCAACTATCGCGATCAAGGCAATCGCAGTAATCATTTCTCTTGACCTCGCCTAATCTGCAAGCAAGTACTGGCTGTGGATGAAATGTTCGACAAGTGTAGAGCAAACTGGCTGGAGGTAACCAATTTTCAGATAGGATCTCTATTTTATGCTTTCAAAAGAATATAAGCTTTATCATATTATTTGTTATGTACTTGAAGCAAAATAGAATAAGTCTATGTCTGATTTGCCCTCCACTGAGCTGTTTTTTTCTGGTAAGGAACCTCAAGTTGAAACCTTTAGCACATCACTCAGATAGCTGCAAAAGGAGGACTTAAAGTATCCAAAACTCAGCCAAATATCAAGCACACCAAGATAGCAACTATTACAGTGGATACTACTACCGTATATAGAAGGAATAGCTGTAAACTCAGCCCATTGTTTTGAAGTAGACACCTTTTGAATCATCCCATCACGTCTCTTATAAAGATTCAACCTGAGTACTGCTTGTTCAATAGTCTTAAAGAAAATCTCCATAGCGAGCATTCTCAAGAAACATAAAAACCGTCAACTTGTATACATATAGATGCAGCAGTATTATTCTTATTTCTTGGGACATAACACGACAGTAAATTTACCAATCCGTTCAATCTCTCGTTCGCATCTCCTACGCTTCATTGCTCGTATCTTGCACATAATTACATACATACATGCCTCGAGTGCTTGTTCTTTACAGTTTTCTTAAACCTGTGATCACTGCTTAGTGGCCAATAATTCTATAATTTCCAACTTTTTCTCAGACACCAATAATTTGAATTAGAATGCGAGATTGATGCGAATTTCCGCGAAAAGTGTTGGCTTTCTCGCCGCTTAAACACTCTGAGTAATTTTATGAGGCAAGTTTCTAACGTTTCTAACTTCTTTGAGTTAATGCTAAAAGTGCTTTACATCAACGATAAAGCCATTTGAAACTATGTACCGCATTCCTACCGTAATGGAATGAGGTAAAGATGCGTGAGGATCTAAGTATAAGTTCACATTTTATTTTGAATCATAAATGTCTAGGAGAGAATTCAAACATGTAACTTGTTAAAGATCCCATTGTAATCAGTAATCCCATTTTTTGAAGTATCCTGAAGTTGTTTCTTAGAATATACCTCCGTTTCATCTTGAATAAGGAAGAAAGGTAAATTGTTTGCAGAAAAAAGTGATTCATCATGTTTTGGTTGAAAAACTTGTCTTATCATTTCTTTTCCTC